TAGGCGGTTTGATTCTAACATGGAGAGGAATCATTTGATTACACAGTATGTCAAGACAGCTTGATCCTAATACTTTAATGGATCAGTTGACCCTAATACGTTAAGGGATCAGTTGACCCCACAGTTTGATTCCACACTGTTTAAAGATAGTTTGATTCTTCAGCGGATATGAATCATTTGATCTCATAACGTATAGTGATCATTTCACCATGTGGCGTATAGGGACACTTTGACCCTGCAGGGGATCATTTGATCCGTCACAGTATTAGGAGAGTGTGAACCCAGAACACCAGGGCAGGGGAGCCCAGTGGTTAGACGCTTGTCTGCCGGCCCAAAGATCTTGGGTTTGAATCTGCAGCGAACGAAATTTTTTAGTAATTGACCTTGGCTCCCAGGTTGGTTCAGCCTAAATGATCATCGAGTTTGTTTGTTTTAGTATCCAGAAGCCATGAGCTGTTAACCCTTAGGCTCGGTATTATGGATATCGCACCCTTTCGGCCTTGATTCAATTGTAAATACCGTAAATCTGGGAGAAAATGTGGCTTTCCTGCCCACCCCCGGGATTGAACCCGGACCACAAGGAGTTCGTCACCCGGTCTCCGCGCAATCCGGTTTAGCCAGCTACGCTAGAGAGCCGGGCTAAATGGTCACCGAGAAGTGTCCTCAGAAGTAAAGGCCAGCGACATGTTTTTGACCACAACACTCGTCAGATGTGAGTGGTCTTGATAATTGAACTAGCACCATATGCCCCCGGTCACCATTGGCGTTAAAAAGGGTCCCTTACATTTCTTAACATAAGAACATTTTATTTCCGTTTCAAGAACTGTTTATGATTCGGTTTGTAGGAAAAATTGTCGGCGAATCGCTACACGACCAGTAGGTGCATCGCCAACACATGAAGGCCAGTGAATCTTTTAGCGGATCTAGATTACCAGGCTGAGCACTGCTGGCTGGCTCTCGACTCGGCAAACTCAACACGGCACATGTTTTTCAGTTGATAGGAAGGTAAAGCATGTTGGCTTTCGGGGAAAATCATTTTCGTGAAATTTTTATTGCATCAGATAATTTGTCATAAAATTTTGTCCACCAACATAGGGATACGGAGAAAATATGTTTGGTAAAACACGATTAATGTGGGGGCGGAGTGGATGGATAGTAGACATACATATATGTACACACACAGATACATGCACACATATCCACCCACACACACCTATCCCCACATACACACATACATAGACACACAGGCATGTGGGTGAGTAGATAGATAGACAGACAGACAGACAAATAGACAGATAGACAAATAGACAGATAGATAGATGGATAGATAGATAGATAGATAGATAGATAGATAGATAGATAGATAGATAGATAGATAGATAGATAGATAGATAGATAGATAGATAGATAGATAGATAGATAGATAGATAGATAGATAGATAGATAGATAGATAGATAGAACTTTCTTTTCAAAGGGTCACAAATTGGGCACGCAGGCCCGTCTTACATTCGGCCCTTCCAGTCAACCATCTTTCGCACAGCAGTTGTATTTTACTAATAAAGCATGTTATGATCATATGATGATATGCATATTATGAATATTATAAAGGAACACAAAAGCATGAGTTGTAAAGTGCATGCAAAAACCCGCGCGTGCATACATACACCCACATACACGCGCTCACCCACTCACTTACAAACATGCATGCATACATTACATACATACATACACAGATACATACAAACAAACATGCATACACACATACACACAGGCATACGTACACACAAACATACATACATAGATACAAACATACATTCATACGTAATACAGGCATACACGCATACAGTCATGAATGGAGGCACACACGGACACTCCCACAGAGACACACACACACTCAGACAAAAATACAGACACGCACACAGACACTTACATATAAACACACACAGGGGAACACACAGCACACATATTTACATTCGTGCTCACACACTGACACACACACCACACATACGCACACATACATACAGCCACATAGACACACACGCAGTCAAACACACACACACACACAAATACAGACAAACAGGCAGACAAACACATACTGACACCCACAGAGACAAACACGCAGAAATGCATAATCATTCAAACACATAGAAATACACACGCAGACACATATATTCAGCACGCACAGACATATACTCTGACATGCAGACACATACAGACAACAAAGGGGCACACATAACACACACAGAGAAACACGCATAGACATGCACAGACAGACAGACACATGCTGACACATACACTCACGCAGACAGACATACAGACACCCACACACAGAGATACATGCATACAGCATCATAGACACACCCGCAGACAAAACACATAAACATACACAGGCAAACATGAAGACAAACACATACGGGGACACACACAGACACAAACGAAGATATACATACAGTCACATCAAATATGCAGAAAAACACAGAGACACACACACACATGCAGACAAACACAGAGACACACACACACATGCAGACAAACACAGAGACACACACACAGACACATATTGATAGATAGATAGATAGATAGATAGATAGATAGATAGATAGATAGATAGATAGATAGATAGATAGATAGATAGATAGATAGATAGATAGATAGATAGATAGATAGATAGATAGATAGATAGATAGATAGATAGATAGATAGATAGATAGATAGATAGATAGATAGATAGATAGATAGATAGATAGATAGATAGATAGATAGATAGATAGATAGATAGATAGATAGATAGATAGATAGATAGATAGATAGATAGATAGATAGATAGATAGATAGATAGATAGATAGATAGATAGATAGATAGATAGATAGATAAATAGATAGATAAATAGATAGATAAATAGATAGATGGATGGATGGATGGATGGATGGATGGATGGATGGATGGATAGGTAGATGGGTAGGTAGATAGATAGATGGATGGGTAGGTAGATAGATGGATGGGTAGGTATGTAGGTAGATTTGTACCTGGTAAAACAAGATTAATAGGGGTGTTGTAGGTGGGTGGGGGTGAATAAATAGATACAGAGGTAGACAGACTGAGGGCCCTGCACTTGGGTGAGTAAGTAGATAGACAGACAGACAGAAAGACAGACCAATTGATGGATGGATGGATACAGAGATGGATAGATTGATTAGCAGGTAGAGAGGTAGTAGGTAGGTAGATAGAAAAAGAGAATAATGGGTGGCTGGGTAGGTATGTAGGCAGGTAGGTGAATGGATGAATATTAGTGGTCAGGGAAAGGAAGAAAAAAAAGTAGTAGTTGAAGATTTGATATCGAGGGAATATATATCTGTCTCTTTCTGCCTGTCCTGTTTACAACATGGCTGTGATATTTGCACCTTTCGGCCAACACATCCCGCTTCTGCAGGCGTTAGTTGCTAAGGTTAGCCTTCCCAGTTAGTTTCCTGGGACATTACATTCTCATTTTTGTGTGGTCATTTTTGGGCTTTCCTTTGAACTTACCCCCAAAATGGCAGTCGTAATATGATGCCACATTCTGGCCATAAAATATCAAAAATATCCGAACGACGGTGTTCACGTATACCTAAAATACAGACTTTCTGCCAAGGAACAAATTTCGGCAAAACTAGGATTACTTGACAATCAATATCAACATTACACACGGTAGTAGCAGACGATAAATACCGGCTGTTGACAATTTCGAGCGTTTCTGCAGACGATATTAGCGACTGTTGACAATTTCGAGACATTACAGACGATGAAAGTGATTAGCAATACTATGTTCTTCCGATTGGAGGATTTAGCAGCGGTAGATGTCAGACTTGACGGCATGCGCCAAACGCGATTAAACTCATCGCCGAGCGTATCCCCCGCGCCGCTACGCGTGACGCGGATGAGGGGCTAAACTAGGTGCCTGGGACTCACGAGTAGAGTAATTGGAGGAAGTTGCAGGAGATGCGGTAGCTGCTGCTCGTGAGTCCCAGCCATGTAGTTTAGCCCCCATCCGCGGCGCGAGGGATACTGTCGGCGCTGAGGCACACCCGCGGAAGCAGGTCCGCAAGTAACGTATCGCCGAGACCCTGTTAGTGCATTTGTTTCGTTATGCGGAGCCGGCACATATATTTTTTATAGAACTGAGCCCCATTCGGATATTTTTAGATATTTTATGGCCAGAAATTGGCCAATTTAGCTCTTTCAGGCTACATCTTAATACGGCTGTCATTTTGGGGGTAAGTTCAAAGGAGAGCCCATTGTTGTTTCCTAGGTCACAGGTGACACTCTTGTGTTTGGGAATCTTCTCTATATTTTCACATGCACGCACGCGAGCGCAGACACACCCCCCCCCCCCCTTTCCAGTCAGAGAGGACAAAATAAATATAGCAGCTAAAAAAAATATCATGATCAGCATACGAAAATACAGACAGTTAAAGAGAATACATAAAATATTACAAACAATGACTCAGCATAGTCCTCCGCTGGCTGTCAGATGTGGTCAAGGCCCTTTGGGAACAAGCAACGGAATCAGTAGCGAACGAAGATTATTATGGCCTGGAGAGAATGAGGCACCTGGGTGTAACCAGAGCGTCTGGCCTGCTCACCACACTCAGAGGAAAGACAAGACGGACATATAACAAGATTGTGACTAGTACCATCAGTATTGGAACTCTGCGCTGGCTGCTGAAGACGAGGACAGAGCACGCATGGGAATGCCCAGAGGGCTGTGATGTCAATTCTTAACTCAGCTAAACTGGCTGTCAGAATATCTTCACATGGAATACAGATGAAAACCACTGAGTACAACAACAAGAACTTGATCACAAAAGGCAGATTGTTAGGTATTGTTATAACTATAATGCTTGTATTTGTGAGTTGAGAAATTGTTACATATTACTGTATTGTTTACCTTTTGTGTTTAACTGTTGATTATTCCTCAGATTTGTTTATGCCTAAAGGCTGTACTGTTGGTTTCTGAGAATGGACATTCTTGTTAGCACTCTGGTGCTGGTCCTGAAAGCCTTGTCCCTGGTGTGTGATGTCTTCACATTTGTTCCTTATTTCATCATCCAGAGACCGGACAAGGTTCGTCGGAGGTCAGCGAGGATTAAGGTTGGTAACAGTCCACTTATTATAAGGAACATAACTGAATATTTAGAAAGACGGACAGGCAGACCATAGAGTGAAGATTGATAGGCTGAGCATTCGATTTATACTGGATAGCTGACAAATTAGACATTGCCTGCTAGCCCAGATGTCTTGGGTTCATATCTGCAGCGACATGGATTTTTATAGTTCTTCTTTTTCTCCTTTTTTTCTTCATGTTTACTGGCTGTATACAAGGGTGGAAAGCTCTGGGTGTTCATCCACCTCCAGATTTTAGTCTTGTTCTGGAAGCCGAGTGTTGTGTTCACATCCGTTTCACATGTCTGCCTTATTTGTATGCTCTTGGTTCTTTGCCTCTCAAGCAGATGTACTCTGACTCCAAAGGATGTCACTAATTACTTGACTCCTACGATGTGCTTGTTGGGGAGGCAGTGAGTGTGTTCTTTTTGTTTTCCTAACAGTGGAGTCCCAGAACCCACACAAGGAGATTTTGTTAATTGACTTTGGGCTCCCAGGTCAATCACTCCTAAAATTGTTAAATGGGAAATGTCATGGGAAATAAAGTTGGCCAGCATGGTGTTGACGACGCCACTCATTTGTTGCCGATTAGTCTGTAAAAATTGGTGGTCTAGCACAGAAGAAGGTGGATACTTTCCGTGGGTTATCACCTTTCTGTCTTTCCAGACAGTAGTATTGCATTGTTCCAAAGAAAGGTATGAGAATTATGGCCCTTGTCAGTGACTGGCAAGACCAGCTCACATTAGAAAAGGTCTTCCACACTTAGAGGCACAGTATTTCAGGACTGTTATTGCCATTGCATATTGATGCCTTTTCTCTTGAAATAATTACCTTCTAACATATTTGCAGTCATCATGCCCTTTATCCTTACTCTGGTCCTGCCTCTTTCCCCTCCATGCGACCTGGCCCATGGCATCCTGTTCTAATTAAACCATCTGAATGCCATTCTTTTATTTTGTAATGATGTTGTAGTTTAGTGATAATGTGTGGAAGAAAAGCGTGTTGCTTGTCCGGTAATGTTTATATGGGGAGGGGCAGGAGGAGGAGGAGGACTATTGCTACTTAAGTTGTTTTTAAATGAAATACGTTGAACTGTGGTAAAGCTGTGAGAATGTAAACAGTTGGAATATACCATAAAAAGATCTGCTTTTCACAGTTATGGGGGGGGGGGGGGGAACAAAATTTAATTGCATATTGTTTACAGAACATTGCAAATCAGCTGCAACATTTGTTGGCTGTTTATTGTTTTACTAGGCAGTTTTATACTCACTAGTTTGCCATTGCTTTCCTAACTTTGGCACCCCATGTCATTGTTAAAATCAACAAAAAGCACTTTGCTGCCAGCTCACCTGCAGTTGAATCGACCATAGTATATCAGAATTACAGACCATGTTCATAACATCTAAACCACAGATGCCGACCAGATACACTTAGCTTTTATCCTGTTTGCAGTAATTTTCTAATTTGTCCTTATTCTCCGCCTGTTTCATTCCATGCAGCGAGATCCATTCCATCCCCTTGCAAAGAAATCTTCTTGGTACTTACACCTTTGTGTAATTTAAATGTACTGTACAGTGCTCTGCAATGGAAACTGTTCGCAAGAAGTCAAAAGGGGAATGGCCATAGCAGTACAAAGATTAAACAGCATTAAAAGTCTATGGTTAGGCACCAACAAAGAAATCAAAGTTAAAATTTTTAAAACATGCATCATTTGGATAAGAGTCATGGACTATCTCCCAGCCCTTAAGGATTAAAATAGGAGCTGTTGAGCTGAAAGATTCTCAGAATGCCACGAACAAAGAAAAAAAGAAATAATGACCTTCTAAAAGATCTGAACATCATGGAAGATTGACCAGTAAACAGTATCTTGTCTCGGAAAGTTGAAATATCTTAGCTGTATCAAACACCACTGTGGATTGAAAAAGATACTAGCATAAGTCATGGTACCAGCATGAAGATGGGCACGGGATATAAATGACTTCTTGGATATGAAAGTGCACGAGGCGGGAGAGCTTGTGAGAGACCAAATTTCTTTCAGGCAGACTGTGACGAGAGCTTGGTTCTGCAAAGGATCTGCTGCATGATGATGATGACAATGTCTTGTATTCAGTTTATTTATGTTTGCACTTTGCACCCACAGGCAAAGCCAGTGTCCGGAAAACCTTCAGATCCATGGCGGTCAGTTGATGTCCCGCCTACTGGCCTGACCACAAGTATCTTTTCAGAGTGCAAAACTTTGGATGACCTCTTCGTCAGAGCTTGCCACCTGTATAGTAGCCAGCCCTGCCTGGGGACTAGAGATATCATTAGTGAGGCAGAAGAGCATCAGTCCAATGGAAAAGTCTTTAAGAAGGTTTGTTGTTATGGAGTTTCTGCTTGTTCAGTGTAATAAACACTTTATTCCCACTATGTTGCCAGTATATTATCTTTTTGGTTTCTTTTTTTTTAAATCTGTGTTTAACTTTGTAGCTAAGGAGTCTCTCTTATTTTGTATGCATCCGACTTTCAAAGACCTGCTTACTGCCTTAATGGCAACGGCTCGTTGGCAGCTCCATGACAAAAGGTGTCTATCTCAAGCACAACTAACGCAACACCCTTAGAGCAAATTCATCAGCCTTTAATATAATTTACAACAAGCGGTAGCTCACCAACCCTACCCCAACCGGCTAGAGTGCTTTACAGTCACCACTCACACATTGGCCTTTCAGTTGCGAACAGCCTCCGATCAGAGCTCTTTCCTACGCCTCTGCACCTCACGCTGTGACTGCTGTGCTGCTGCACAGTTCTGGCTAGTGTGATCAGACAGACCCCTTCGCCTGGGTACCATGCCCACAAACTCATTCTCAACTTCTTTACTGTCAGACCCCTTTTGCGAACTGCCTCACTAAAACAATGCTATGTACCTGAGTGAAAACAACTGTAACTAAACACAATGAACTATCTTACTAAATAACACAAGACATTATACTGCCTAATTAACACTGACATTAAAATATATTCAGGCTAACATGTTTTCACAATCTAATCGTCACTAACTTAAATCAGTTATGAGAAAACTAGCTATCAAAACACCACCCATCTTGTCCAAGTCTGTCAGTGAACTCCAGAAAAACGCTTTCCCTGTCACTTTTGTCCAGTCCACCATTTACCCTTGGGATAGTCAAATCTCCATGAATCCTGGAGTGTTCACTCGTCCGTCATGATGTACTAGTGGGAAACTCCCGTGGGCTGTTGAACATGCATTCGCTAACCTGTCATCTGAGTGCTAGTCTCTCATTCACCATCATCACCTACAATAGTTACATTGCCACACAGGCTTTTGACACTCACATTGTTGCTTGAAATAGTATCTTTTTGTCTGTTTCCTACTTTGTTTCTACCCGTGTATTACTTGAACAAGATTTCTGCCAGTAAACATGAAATGATAAGTTTTTGTTAGGAAATTGAATGAGAAGTTTATATTCAAGTGTTGAATGAGGACTTTATCTCAGAAAGACAATAAATTGGTAGCAAATGTCAGAAAGAGGTTGATTTTAGTTAAAAAGAAGTTGAATGGGTAGTTAATTCCTGAATTTCAGAAAGGGGTTAAATAGTTTGTTCCTGTTAGAGATATTCTTCCTCTTCTTCTTTGCGTTCACCGGCTGTAAGCTCCGGCAGAAAGTTCTGGTTGTTTGTCCACTTCTGGACTCTAGTCCTATTCCAGAACCTGACTTGCGTGTACATCCATTTCACAGGTCTAACTCATTTGCATGCAGACTGTTGGTTCCTTGCCTCTCAGGCAGATGTACTCCGAATTTGAAGGAAGCTCCCAATTAGTCGACTCTTAGGACATGCATTTGGGCAGGCAGTGGGTCTACTATTGTTTTCCCCACAACTGGGCTCCGAAACCCACACAGGAAGTTAAGAGATATTGAATGAGTAGTTCAAGTGAGAGAAGTTAAACAAAAAGTTCATATCACAGAGTTTAAATTAGTTCAAGTGAGAGAGGTTGAGGGAATAGTTCTTGTGAGAGAAGTTGAATGTGTAGTTCAAGTGAGAGATATTGAATGAATAGTTCATGTGATAGATATTGAACAGATCATGTAAGCCAGGTTGAAAGTCTGAACAGGCCAAAAAGGTTAAAAGTCTTGAATAGGTCGTGTCAGAAACGTTGATAATCTTAGCAATTTATGTCAGAAATGTTGAGTCTGAGCAGGTTGTGCCAGAAAGATTGATAAACTGAACAGGTCATGCCATATTGGTTGAACAGGTCATGGATGAGTTGAGTTGAGTCAAGAATCACAACACTTGGGGCATTCCCATGTGCGCTCCATTTTACTTTTCAGCAGTCAGCGCAGAGTTCCAATACTAATGGTACCGGTTGTAATCCGGTTAAATGTCCGAATGGTTTTTCCTCATGGATGAGAATTGTAGAAACATTGAGTTACCCAGGAAAGACTGGTTTTGATTTTAGAAGCTTTAGTCTAAGAAATTGTCAGGGAGACTGAATAGAAAGTAAATAAAAGGCGGTGTATTATTATACATCCTGCTTCTTGATCTGTCTACAGCTTGTCCTGGGCCGGTATCGGTGGGAAACCTACGAAGAAGTTTCTACAAGAATCAACAACTTTGGCAATGGGCTGATTGCACTAGGTCACAAACCAAGGTCAAGGCTGGCTATTTTTGCAGAAACCAGAGCAGAATGGATGATCTCAGCTCAGGCCTGTTTCAGGAATAACTTCCCTGGTGAGTGCCCTTGGTTTGATTTCAGTAAAGGTTTTGTCAGTAGGTTGTTTACAATTGGTTATTTTACAGCAGACGGGATGGTGAAGATGGACAGTTTTCCAGCATCTTGAAGGTTGATTTTTGTTTTAAAAGTGAACAGTTTTAAGTCAGCTGAGATGTGGAATGGGGTACACAGCATGTACAGTTATACATCTGTTGTCTGAGCCTGAAACAGTTTGGTGGTAGCTGCAAAGTTGACTTTGGCTTCAAGTGGTAATTAGTCTGATCTGAAGAAATATGTGTGTGTTTTGTTATTTTTGTTTGTGTTTCAGTGGTTGGTTTGATGGTTGGTTGAGCACAAAAAAAAGATATTTGTGTATGTAATAAGGCTGCATGTTTGTGCGTGTTTTCAGAGGATGGTTGTTTGGTTGAATATTAGGAAATATGTTTGAGTGTTTGTTTGTTCTTAATCTCTGTTCCTATATTTTGTGCATGCCTGTACCTGCCTGACTGTTGTCTGTCTGTAAGTCTCTGTCTATCAGTGTCTGTCTCTGTGGTAAGGGGTACTGAAGTAAAGGACCCTCTTTCCACATCCTTAGGCGTACTGGGCATATAGGGCTAGATCTCTGTTTTATAAACCACTTGGCACTTGGTAGGTAATGTGGTCAACATCACGCTGACCACTTTTACTTCCCAGGATGTTGCCTGGTACCCATTTAGACTGGGTTGACCTGGTAAACAAGGTCATTTTTTAAGAAACCTGCAACCTTGGGGCCCTAGGTGAGCATCTAGCTGTGATGTTACAGATGCTCCCTAAAGAGGTTTTTTTCTTTTTTTTTTTCTCATGTCAAGAGTATTTCTGCTTGTCTGCTGTCATTCTCTGCCTGCCTGTCGGCCACTGTCTGTCTCTGGTTTATAAGAAGTGCTAAATATGTGTTGTTGAGTATCAGAACATGTCTGTTTATATTTTACTTTTGTTTTTAGGAACACTTTCTTCTTCTCAAAGTCCATGCAGTGTAGTGTTGGTAGTCATGTCTATCCACAACCTTCTGTCTCTGTACTTTCAGTCAACTCTGACACAGTTGATTCTCCATGTCATGATGTCAGACTGCCCAGCATCTGTTCTCTCGGTCTGCCTCTGCCTCTCCTCCCGTCTAACTTATCTACCGCCACGATGTACTCCCGTTTTCTCCTTCACATCAAATGACCAAAGAATACAGACTGTCTCTTTCTGTTGTGGGCAATCAGTTTTCTTCGTGGGTCAAATTCTTTCAAGACATCCTCATTACTCTTTTTATCTGTCTAGGGTATTTGCAGCATTCGTCTATAAAACCAGATCTCACCAGCTTCCAAATAATTTTTCGCTAACCTACTAACTATCCATGATTCAGTTCCATATATCAAGATAGGTTGTATATAGATAGCTTTTAAGAATTCTCTTTCTCATCCTAATTGACAAAGATTTGCATAAAATATTCTTCATTTTGTAAAAGCTTATGCTATTCTATATTTAACTTCTTTAATTCCTTAATTTTCCATGAACAGTGTGCTTTGTTATCATTCCTATTAGTCTAAGTGCTGCAGTTATTGTCTGCAGTAATCTATTTCCTGGTGGTTTCCATGTGTACACGCAAGACTATCAGCTTTTGTTTCCCTATATTTTCTTGAAAAATGCCATTTACAGTAATGCTGTATGATTGCATGCCAAGTCATTGGCTTCTGTAGCAAAGGCATTGAGAACGTGCTTGTTTTTTCTGAAATACCTGATTCTAGTTGCAGATGAATAGGCAGCAGACCACTTTGCGCTGATTTCGACAGAAGTATGTTGGGTTGAGCATTCAGCAACTAGTGTAGTTGCAAACTACAGAGTGTAAAATTGCATAGTAAATCCACAAACAGGCAAAGAATGCTGGGGTCAGTTCTGCTAAAGCCTGTGCAGGATGGACAACTGACTTTACTTTGTAAGCCAGGTCAAGGTTGTACGCCCCAGCAGTTTCCATGTTATTTCCCTATTTAAATTTTTTAAAGTTTAAAATTGGGGTTGTTTTATTACACACAATATCATTAAAATGTTTGTTACCTAATTTTTGCCCCCCCCCCCCCCCCCCACCCAAAATAGGAGTTGGACAATGAATAGGGCACTAGAACAGAAAATAACTACTTGTGAAATGCACTGGCTCCACAAGGTCACTTACAGGGCAAAAAGAGACAGGGTTACGGTTATGTGTACATCAGACATAAGTTCTCTTTACCTTGCAGTGGTCACCTTATATGCAACACTTGGAATTGATGCGATCATTCATGGAATTCGGGAAACTGAAGTCTCTGTGGTCATCACCAGCTTTGAACTGCTGCCAAAGTTTCAGGTGAGGGTTAATAGCGAGAGGTCAGGGCCGGCTTGCAACTCACTGCCAGGAGGGTCAGTGAGCATGGAAACTTTCATAGGCTGTAAGTGGGAACTATCTGTCTCTGTCTTCCCCCTCAGCCTTATTCCCTCCTCTTCAAATATATATTCTTTCACTGTTTCTCTCCCTTATCAGCTTTCTCCACACATACACACAACCACACACATACATACATACATACACACACATACCTACATACACACACACACATACCTACATACACACATACATACTTACACACAACCACACACATACATACACAGATACATACATACATACATACATACATACATACATACATACATACATACATACATACATACATACATACATACATACATACATACATACATACATACATACACACATACATACACACATACATACATACATACATACATATACATACAAACACATACATACATACAAACATACATACAAACATACATACAAACATACAAACATACATACAAACATACATACATACATACATACATACTTACATACATACTTACGTACATACTTACATACATACATACTTACTTACGTACATACATACTTACGTACATACTTACATACATACTTACATACATACTCACATACATACATACATACATACTTACATACATACATACATGCTTACATGCATGCAGGCAGGCAGGCAGAAACGCAGACAGGCACACAGAGAGACACACAGACACAAGACAAACACACAGACAGACACACACGACACACAGACAGACACACACGACACACAGACAGACACGACAGACACACACGAAACGCAGACAGACACGCAGACAGACAGACACGACAGACAGACACGACACACAGACAGACAGACATGGTACACAGACAGACTCGACACACAGACAGACGACACACAGACAGACAGGCACGACAGACAGACACGACACAGACACGACACACACACAGACACGACACACAGACACGACACACACACAGACACGACACACACACAGACACGACACACACACACACAGACATGACACACACACAGACACGACACAGACATGACACACACACAGACACGACCCACACACAGACACGACCCACAGACAGACACGACCCACAGACAGACATGACACACACACAGACACGACACACACACAGACACGACACACACACAGACACGACACAGACACGACACACACACAGACACGACACACAGACATGACACACAGACACGACACACACACACGACACAGACACGACACACACACAGACACGACACACACACACACACAGAGACACACACACAGACACGACACACACACACATACACATACATACATACATACATACATACATACATACATACATACATACATACATACATACATACATACATACATACATACATACATACATACATACATACATACATACACAAAAAGTGGTGTGAATATTTTTGGTACTGAGGCCCAATGGACTAGGGCAATGTAAATGTCATTGTCATAAACCTGTTTGGGCATCTTTGACAGAATACTTTAACAAATGTTAAGCATAACAAACTTGAGGGGCTGCATGGTCTTGAGGCCTAGTGTCCTCCTCGAGTGCTAGAAGTTCTGGGTTCAATCCCTGGTAAGGGCTGTGATTTTTTTCATGTCAACTTGGACTTCTAGTAATTCCCCCTGGTCTCTGGGTAGTGAAATCACACACCCCTGTGCATTGTTGCACACGTAAAAAATCCCTTGGCAGTTGGAAATAAAAAAGAGTAACCTAACGACGCTGCCCGGGCAAAATTTAAAGTTAGAAATCTAACCAGAATATTTCAGGATCCTCGCCAGTGCTACAGAGCCTCTGCACTGTGATGAACTTCTTCGGACTCAGACTTGAGGTAGAAGCACGGAGCACTTATGGGTTATTACCCATGTGCCATGATGTTGATCTGTTGTTTAAACCTCAAACAAACTTGAACTTTTTTTTTTCTTCTCCTTTTTTTTTTTTTCTTCTTCTTCTTCTTCTTTTCTTCTTCTTCTTCTTCTTCTTCTTTCTTCTTCTTCTTCTTCTTCTTCTTCTTCTTCTTCTTCTTCTGCTGCTGCTCCACTTCTTCTTCTTCTTCTTCTTCTTCTTCTTCTTCTTCTTCTTCCTCTTCTTCTTCTTCTTCTTCCTCTTCCTCTTCTTCTTCTTCTTCTTCATCCTCTTCTCCTTCTTCTCGAAGAGGCCTCGGACACAAGCCTTGGTTAAAAACCTGATTGTCTGGAGAAGATTATTAAGAACTGACAAACATTCTTTATAACCTTCACTGTTGTTTGATTCCTTTTTATCATTTAACGCTGATGCATGAATGTATCTGATGTGCAGACATGAACCAGTCCGACCAATGCTTTTGACTTTAAGGTTTCCTAACGAATATGTCCTACAGTCAAACAAGGACTCACAGCTGTCCATTATCTCTCTTTCTTTCTGTCACTATCTTTTTTTTTCTTCCTCTAAACATTTTCCACACTGATGCACAGATGTACACAGATGCACAAATGTATCCCTTCCATACCAAAGCTACTTCATTAACTTAAAGCACCTAATGTTTATGCTACATAGACATACTCATGTCTTCAGTGTATTGTATACATTTCTGCTAATTTGCAGGATGTGCTACCAAAGACACCAAAAGTCAGCCATCTGATTGTGATGGGCTGTAACAGGGCAAAGCTGATTGAAGCCCACCTGAAGATGCCCAATGAGATAACAGTTCTGTCTATGCAAGAAGTTGAAGTAATTGGAGCCAGACCAGAGCACAGTAAGTGAGTGTGAGAAACACTTTGAGCAGGTCATTGTCAGACTTAACTGTTTATGATCCCAGTGAAAGGTTCGGCCATTTCACTGGACTGCCAGCAGACAGTATCCCACAGTGAGCAATGATGTATAGAGGCCAGCCATGTAAGTGATGACACGTGGAATAAAAAAAAAATACATGGGATCACCCATTTATAATCGTCAAGGCCCTTGTTGACTGGTGTGGGTGATCGTTCTTGTTGACTGGTGTGGGTGATCGTGCTTGTTGACTGGTGTGGGTGATCGTGCCCCTTCACAACCTGGGATTTTCAAGTTGTGTATAATTGTGTGTGCTGACACTCTTTTGCACCATGACAAAAGACAATACAGTCAAGAGTCTTCTTGCATTTTCTTTCTCTTTAGATATCTTTGGGGTCACATCATGTTACAGTTTCCGTTTTCTGATAACAAGGCCAAAAACTGATGGCTGTCCTTTTCTGATGTTTGTGATAAGTTGTAAATCGGGCCCTCACCTCTTTCAAAACATCTGATTTACTCATTTTAGCTGTCTAAAGAATCTTAAATCAGCATGTCAGCATTCAGGAACTCACACGGATATACTATCTGAGATTTGCAGGAGTGCGAGGAAATAAAAGCTGATTTTCTGCTACAAATGCAAAAGTTACAGGAACACTCATACCAGACAAAGGAGCAATTCTGAAGAACATTTATGAACAAATGCTGATAGAAGACACAAGGTTAGATGATATAACATGTGTAAGGATGTGTAGGAATTAGGCCGTGAACATATGAGAGAAAGAGAATGACGAGTTTATAACGAGTATGCTACAGGAACACTTAGCATCTAACACCTTATAACATTTGTTGCAGGGGACGGAGCACCTGTGGTATGCCCGGTGTGCTATGATGTTGATTCTTAAATCAGAAAAGAATTATAAGCATTCTTTTGTAAAACCCACTTCTCTGAGGCCTTAGAAATTTATTTGGCTTGTTTATTAATTGTCCAGGATGTTTTCTTCCAGTCTAATATAAGCATTACTCACAATATCCAAAAAATTATTTTATTTAAAATAAAACCTGTCTTAAGTCAAATGAGGTAACAAATAATAACACTATATGACAAAAAAAAGCCAGATCTGTAAAACAGATGTGCACGCCAGACTCAGATTCTGGACCAAGACCAAAGTCTAGAAGTGGACAAAAAAACAACCAGAACTTTCTACTTGCGTTTATAGCCGGTCTACTAAACAAATAGAGACTAGCTTCATAGGATTGAAAAGCCACTTTCGTCAAAAGGATTCTTTACGTTTTAACTGACATAGTACTGACTAAATGAAAGCCTGACTGCTATAGTGCTGACTGTATATGAAAGACTGACTGCTATAGTACTGACTACCTTGAATTTCTCATAGGCATCTCAAAGTCTTCTGGTACTGAAAGAGTGCAGTAAATATAAATAACCTGTTTTATATTCTTAAATTATTACAGAAAACCATGTTCGGGACAAACCCAAAGTTGACGATGTTGCTGTCATTATGTACACCAGCGGCTCTACGGGGTTGCCAAAAGGTAATCAGACTGACGTTTTTTTTGGCCAGATCTCTTTACAGATTGTTTGCTATTACAGTCTTATAGTATTTGTACTATTATCCTGACAACAGGTCAAGTGGTTTGGCGACGTAACAAGATTGGCATCAGACAGGGCACCACATAGAGTAATGTTATACTGATACAGCGGTAGCAGCCAGAGGTCGACTACGCAGAACACAGACCACAGAAATATCAGAGACACGGAAAAGTACTTTATTTGAAGCGAACAGAAGGGCCTGTTCCAGATATCTCTTCCTTCCCTCACACTGTGAGACATTCCAGGAGGAGAGAAAAGAAGAAGACTATTATCCTCCTGGACCAAGGAGACATTCTAAAGACGATTAGTAAATGAATGCTGATAGAATACATGAGGTTGGATGAAATAACATGTATGAATATGTCAGTGTGGAGTTAAGAGTGGATCTGGCAAGGAGGGGCGTATGAGAGAAAGAGAATGACATGGGTGTAATCAGAGTGCTAATGGAGTAGACAGTATCTTAAAACATTAGCTGGGGGAGGTGGAGACTAAGAGGGTATACCCAGTGTGCTATACTGTCTATTCTTAAATCAGTAATCAATATATATTTAAAGGTTAAAGTCAAGAGTATTGACTTCATTGCACCAGGTTTTATATCCCATATGGCTCACTCTCTTTCTCAAGGGCGACTAGCCGTCTGCCTAGAGTGTCGCACAAAGCATGAACTCCTTACTTCAGCAATGATCCCCAGGGATCTCTGTAAAAATTGCACTTGTGAAATGAACACACGACTTTCAAAGTGCGAGGCGAACGGCTTGACCACTTTAACACAGAGATTTTCTCCCATAATTATCAGTGAATATACTGTAGCTGACCTCCCTTGCAGAATTATGTAATTACGCCTGTTGATCTGATCTTTCCTCGGGTGAGGTGTTGGTTGTCATTTTCGCCTCCTCCTCGACTTACGACCTATGTAATTTATGATCATTGGCTCCTACAACCACAAAAATTATATAAATAAAAATAGTAATAAAGAGAAATAACTATATTGGTAAGGTAAAAAACAATGGTTCTAGGAACTGATGCAGTAAAATTATGTTTTTTATTTTTACATTGTATACAGTAATTATAGTCGGCTCTGTGGCTATGTCAATGCGAACGCTTCGTAATGCCGGGGTGCCGGGATCGATCCTAGCTGTGGGCCATGCGCCTTGCATTGGTTACGACAGTGGTATCAAGAAAGCCGACTGTCCAGAAAGCGATGGCAAACTACTGGACGTAAATTTGCCTAGAGAAACCACACAACAGTCGGGGGCTGTTGGGGTTGGTTACGCAACTAACCTAACAGTAATTATGTGTACATAGCTTGAAACACCTTATTTTGTTTCAAAATACAGCCCTCTATGTCTATATTTTTCCCCCATTACAGCTTCTTGGTTTCATGTTGACCTTGGTTGTTTAGAAGCTCTGTTGTCTTGTCTGTTGAGTTTTCTAGTCACAGTTTTGTTGTATTTAGTACTTCGCTGATAAAGACTGTGGTCAAAACAGTTGGTTTTATTTGTGTGCATCTTTTCCATTCCTTACAGTGAGCTTTCTGGTCACATTTTATGTTGTGTTTAGCACTTTTTATCATTTGCTTGATTGCAGTTCCCCCCCTTATTTACGTCATCACTTTATAATTTCTCCTTGACTGACCGATATCTGTTTTCAGGTGTGGTGATATCCCATAGAAATCTCATGTGTGGAACTTCTGGACAGATACAGCGGATCCCTAGCCTAGGGTAAGTGTTTGCTTTGTGTGAAAGCTTCATTTGTTCCAGTGGTTGTATTTTCTTTGCTACATTAAAATGTCAATAGCTGTGCTGTTTTATTGTTCTTGCTTTCTGGGGAGATGAAATTATTTTTCATATTTTATTGTTTTTGAGTCATGTGAAAACTCATTAGCCTCTTCTGTTTTCTTCTTTTATGCCTGTTCTGTTTATTCTTCTATTTGATTAATATGAAAAATATTATTGATTTGTGTGAAAATGTCATTAATTCTCATGCAGTCCTTACTTTTTGTAAACACATCATTACATTTTGCAGTTTTATAGCCTTGTCTCATGTGAAAAATTCATTACTTCTATTGGTTTCTTTATAATCCTTGGTTTATATGAAACAGGATTAGCCTGTGCTGTTTTATTGTGCTTGATTCATGTGAAAATTCATAACTTCTGTCATCCTTACTTCATGTAAACACGGCTGGTTTATGGCCTGGATTCAGGTGCACATGTCATTATGTCTCAAGGTTTAGTATAATTCTTTTTTTTTTTTTAAATATTTTGGCCAAATTAATAGACAGTAATCATATAAAAACCATACTGGAGGAAGAAGTTGAAGGCAGTAAGAGGCAGATACAGTGGTAAATGTGGGAGGATAACATCAAGAAATGGACAAACACCAGTCTGAGAGAGTGTACATCCAAGGTGAAAGACAGGGTCTGTTGGAGATCCATTGCAGTCATCCTTCATTGTGGAGATGGAACCTGTTTGGTTGATTCGTGTGAAAATATCATTACTTCTGCTTTTTTATGACCTTGACTAATGTGAATCCTGCTTGCTGCAATTGTCAGTACTTGCGGTTTAAGTGTTGCTAGTGCAGAACTCGTATCTACAAAACAAGTATTGTTAAAATGCTAGAATCACAGCCAATGAGTGAATCAGGAATTGATATTGCTGCACTCAGGACATCCCCTTACCTGCTCTTTCCTCTCACCTGCTCTTTCCTCTTACCTACTCTATCCCCTTCCTCAGCAGCCAACATATATTTCTCTTATTTATGATGCCAGTTGCTTATTGATTAAATAAATGCTTGTCCTTTCTTGCTGCTTTTTTTGAAACATCCATACAATGTGCCAACTCCTAGCTGAAAAGTCTCTGCAGGTATAGAAACTCTGTTCTGAGGCAGTCCACTTGACCCCCAGAGAGCTCAGTCACATTCACTTTAACATAAAGTTGTAGCTCACTTTCTAGCGAAACTGCAGCAGCACATCTATCAGCCTGTTTGTTATTATGTACACCTGAATATCCTGGACAAAGCATATATGGTTTGCTCCTGATCCGAGTCATACTTAGTGATGTGAAACACTGTGCACTTAAAACACCAGTTACTATTTTTTTTAAACATGCTCTGCAGCGTTGATAAAACAATGGTCAAAAGAGTGCTAGAATTATCAGTGTTGGCTTTACAAGGGTTTACAGACTGCTAGAACTATCATATTTTTTATTCAGTCAATGACAGTGTGTTATAATCATCATATTTTGAATGTATTATTTGTCATAATTCTAGAACCATCATATATGCAATTAAATATTTGACAGTGTGCTGGAATCATCACATTTCCAGTTAAGTAGTTGACAGTGTGATAGAATCATCATATTTCCAATTAATAAGTTCACAGTGTGATACTGATAGAAACATAATATTTCCAATTAAGTAGTTGACAGGGTGATAAAAACAACATATTTCCCATTTAAGTAGTCGACAGGGTGATAGAAACATCATATTTCCAATTCACTACTTGACAGTATGCTAGAATCCTCATATTTTCAATTCACTAGTTGACTGTGCATGAATCATCATATTTGCAATTTACTACTAGAAAGTGTGCTAGAATCATCATATTTCCAATTTTGTAGGTAACAGTGTGCTAGAATCATAGTATTTCTAAATATGTAGATGGCATGTGCTAGAATCATAGTATTTACAAATATGTGGTTGACTGTGTGCTGGAATTCTCATATTTCCAATTTTATAGTTGACAGTGTGCTAGAATCATCATATTTCCAAACATATAGAGTTGACAGTTTGCTAGAATCATGATATTTCCAAATATGTAGTTGACAGTGTGCTAGTATTTCCTAGTATTTCCAGATATGTAGTTGACAGTGGACTAGAATCCTTTTTCCAATTTTGTAGTTGACAGTGTGCTAGAATCATCATATTTCCAACTTTGTAGTTGACAGTGTGCTAGAATCATCATATTTCCAACTTTGTAGTTGACAGTGTGCTAGAATCATCATATTTTCAAATATGTAGTTGACAGTGTGCTAGATCATAATATTTCCAATTAAGTATTCAAAAGTGTGCTGGAATCATTATATTTCCAATTCACTAGTTGACAGAGTGATAGAATCATCATGTTTCCAATTCAGAGGTGACAGTTTGCGGAAATCATCATCATTGACAGTGTTAGAATCATCAGTTTCCAATGTTGTCATTGGCAGTATGCTAGAATCATCATAGTCAACAGATAGCTAAAATCATGACAATTTATAATTCACTAGTCGACAATGTTCTAGAATCATAATATTTTCAATTCGACAGTTAACAGAGTGTTAAAATCTTGTGTTGTTGACAGAACGGGTGTTGACAGAGCTCTGGAATTATCATTTTGATAACGTACATGGAACATAAATATTCCTCATGCAAACCACAAATATTCATTCTGAAACAATCATTTGTATTTATTCTGAAAGTATAATTTGTTCTACTTTCAGAGAAAACGATGCTTATGTAGGCTACCTACCACTGGCTCATGTCTTGGAGCTAAGTGCTGGTAAGACAGCTGTTCTGTATCTGACTTTCTGTATCATCAGCCCTCCAAATTGGGAGGACAGGATTCTACCTGTGTCAGTAGTTTAGAGATTTTACCATGTGCTGAAAGTAATTTAGAGATTTTACCATGTGCTGAAAGTAATTTAGAGATTTTACCATGTGCTGAAAGTAATTTAGAGATTTCACCATGTGCTGATGAAAGTAATTTAGAGATTTTACCATGTGCTGAAAGTAATTTAAAGATTTTACCATGTGCTGAAAGTAATTTAGAGATTTCACCATGTGCTGAAAGTAATTTAGAGATTTTACCATGTGCTGAAAGTAATTTAGAGATTTTACCATGTGCTGAAAGTAATTTTGAAATTTTACCGTGTGCTGAAAGTAATTCAGAGATTTTACCATGTGCTGAAAGTAATTTAGAGATTATACCATGTGCTGAAAGTAATTTAGAGATTTTACCATGTGCTGAAAGTAGTTTAGAGATTTTACCATGTGCTGAAAGTAATTTAGAGATTTTACCATGTGCTGAAAGTAATTTAGAGATTTTACCATGTGCTGAAAGTAATTTTGAAATTTTACCATGTGCTGAAAGTAATTTAGAGATTTTACCATGTGCTGAAAGTAATTTAGAGATTTTACCATGTGATGAAAGTAATTTTGAAATTTTACCGTGTGCTGAAAGTAATTTTGAGATTTTACCATGTGCTGAAAGTAATTTAGAGATTTTACCATGTGCTGAAAGTAATTTTGAAATTTTACTGTGTGCTGAAAGTAATTTAGAGATTTTACCATGTGCTAAAAGTAATTATAGATTTTACCATGTGCTGAAAGCGATTTAGAGATTTTATCATGTGCTGAAAGTAATTTTGAAATTTTACGTGTGCTGAAAGTAATTTAGAGACTTTTTTCCTGTGCTGTGTGACGTCAGTGATTTAACGATTTTGTTGTGGTGCGGCTTATGAGGAGCAGCTGACTGAATGGTTGAGAATAGTGGGTTCTCGTGTTGGTTTGAATCCTGGGTAAGGGCATGGATTATTTTTTTTCTGCCGGCGGCAAAAAATAAAATCCTAATGGTAATGACTTTGAGATTGTTTTGTTTGGAGTGATTGCTATGTACTCTCATCTTCTATTGCTGTACAGAGGTGTCCTGTATAGCCATGGGAACTAGGATTGGCTACTCATCTCCGACTACTCTCACAGACAAGGTGAGAATATGTCCAGTTGTTCAAATCATTGAATATGTTCATCAACATCATCATCATGTGCCCTGCTCATGCATCTCTACAGATCACGATTCCTGGTTGCCTAGAACAGCTCTCTTGATGATATCCCTTCATGCCATCATTTAAGTCCATCCATCTCTTGGTCTGTCTCTACCCTTTTTTCCACTGATCTTTCCAGTTGTCACGACATTCTCCAATGTCTCTCTCTTCTCATCACGTGGCCAAAGAGCAGTGTTTGTCTCTTTCTTATTGTTGCATATAGAGATCTACTTTCATTAGCTTCTTTCAAACAATCATTTGTGAATATGTTCCCAAAGACTCCTCACACGAAGGCAACAGGTCATTATGTTTTAGATTGTGAACTGGACACAAAAGACTTTGCTGCCACATGTACAAGAAATTCAAGAATGGAAACTTGGAACTTTTGCAAATGAGGATAAACCCCACAAAATACTGAACATTTGCTACAGACATTCTCTCAAGGTTAAGTAGATAAATCCCAGGTTTGGCCAGTTGGCATTCTGGTGTAAAGAAAGCTGTGTGGATCAGGGAAGGACACGTTTCGCACTAAAGCCTTTAGAAAGGAGTGTGGCCTCATCTGAAAACCCTGGGCAGTGAGGACGAAAAAAGAAAAAGAAAGAAGGTTACAAGGTTCAGCTGAAAAATCCAACTAACTTTGGACAAAGTAGGGCACAAGTTGACTGAGGTTCCATGCTTCTTTGGGGGATAAATGATAGAAGAAGAAGAAGAAGAAGAAAAATCCAGAAAAGTCAGAATTTGCTTTGGAATAATACCTCAACTGAATATTTGTAAAGTGCCTGCACACAGTGATAAATATGATCACCAATATAGCAGTTTGGTCTGGTAGGCTGAGCCAATTGTAACTGATTGGCTCTTATGAAGAAAGAAGTAGATCTAGTTTGGTCTGTATGTTTCATCCCTAGACGTACTTGTTGTACCGACTCATGCCATTAAAATTGTGTGATATATTTGATCTAATTATTTCAGTCCACTGAAATCACTAAATACCATTTTTAGATATTTATCAGTTTCATCTACTAAAATCACTGGATGTTTTTAACTCTTCATTATAATCACAAGATGTATTTGGCTGTTAAGTCACCAATTATGTTTGTTCTGTATCTTTTGGTTTGCTAAAATTACTAGAAATATTTACTGCTTCTGTTTCAGTCCACTAAATTCACTAGATATATTTGCTTCCTGTGTTCCAGTCCATTCAAATCACTAGATATCTTTACCGTATCTGTTTCTGCCCACTGAAATCACTAGATTATTTGCTCTTGTCTATTTCAATCCACTGTAACCACTAGATATATTTGCTCCACCTGTTCCAGTCCACAGTAATCACTAGATATATTTGCTGTCTCCCTTCTAGTCCACTAAAATCAAGAAAGGCAGCACTGGAGATGTGAGTGAGCTCAAACCAACACTGGTTGCTGCAGTACCAGTAAGTGTCTTGCTTGTCAAGTCACATATGTTGTCCGTAGCAGTATGTTAACAGTGCACTTATGATAATTATAATGGTTGTTTGTATATATATATATATATATATATATATATATATATATATATATATATATATATATATATATATATATATATATATATATATATATAAAAGACTGCTACCAGATAGTGTGTGAAGACTGCTACCAGATAGTGTGTCAAGACTGCTACCAGATAGTGTGTCAAGACTAATACCAGAAAGTGTGTCAAGACTGCTACCAGATATTGTGTGAAGACTACTACCAGATAGTGTGTCAAGACTACTACCAGATAGTGTGTCAAGACTACTACCAGATAGTGTGTCAAGACTGCTACCAGATAGTGTGTCAAGACTGCTACCAGATAGTGTGTCAAGACTGCTACCAGATAGTGTGTCAAGACTACTATCAGATAGTGTGTCAAGACTGCTACCACATAGTGTGTCAAGACTACTACCAGATAGTGTGTCAAGACTGCTACCAGATAGTGTGTCAAAACTGCTACCAGATAGTGTGTCAAAACTGCTACCAAATAGTGTGAAGACTGCTACCAGATAGTGTGTCAAGACTGCTACCAGATAGTGTGTCAAGACTGCTACCAGATAGTGTGTCAAGACTACTACCAAATAGTGTGTCAAGACTACTACCAAATAGTGTGAAGACTACTACCAGATAGTGTGTCAAGACTACTACCAGATAGTGTGTCTAGACTGCTACCAGATAGTGTGTCAAGACTACTACCAGATAGTGTGTCAAGACTACTACCAGATAGTGTGTCAAGACTACTACCAGATAGTGTGTCAAGACTGCTACCAGATAGTGTGTCAAGACTACTACCAGATAGTGTGTCAAGACTGCTACCCAATAGTGTAAAGACTGCTACCAGATAGTGTGTCAAGACTACTACCAGATAGTGTGTCAAGACTGCTACCAGATAGTGTGTCAAGACTGCTACCAAATAGTGTAAAGACTGCTACCAGATAGTGTGTCAAGACTGCTACCAGATAGTGTGTCAAGACTGCTACCAGATAGTGTGTCAAGACTGCTACCAGATAGTGTGTCAAGACTACTACCAGATAGTGTGTCAAGACTGCTACCAAATAGTGTAAAGACTGCTACCAGATAGTGTGTCAAGACTGCTACCAGATAGTGTGTCAAGACTGCTACCAAATAGTGTAAAGACTGCTACCAGATAGTGTGTCAAGACTGCTACCAGATAGTGTGTCAAGACTGCTACCAGATAGTGTGTCAAGACTACTACCAGATAGTGTGTCAAGACTGCTACCAAATAGTGTAAAGACTGCTACCAGATAGTGTGTCAAGACTGCTACCAGATAGTGTGTCAAGACTGCTACCAGATAGTGTGTCAAGACTACTACCAAATAGTGTGTCAAGACTACTACCAAATAGTGTGAAGACTACTACCAGATAGTGTGTCAAGACTGCTACCAGATAGTGTGTCAAGACTGCTACCAGATAGTGTGTCAAGACTGCTACCAGATAGTGTGTCAAGACTGCTACCAGATAGTGTGTCAAGACTGCTACCAGATAGTGTGTCAAGACTGCTACCAGATAGTGTGTCAAGACTGCTACCAGATAGTGTGTCAAGACTACTACCAAATAGTGTGTCAAGACTACTACCAAATAGTGTGAAGACTACTACCAGATAGTGTGTCAAGACTGCTACCAAATAGTGTAAAGACTACTACCAGATAGTGTGTCAAGACTGCTACCAGATAGTGTGTCAAGACTACTACCAGATAGTGTGTCAAGACTGCTACCAAATAGTGTAAAGACTGCTACCAGATAGTGTGTCAAGACTGCTACCAGATAGTGTGTCAAGACTGCTACCAGATAGTGTGTCAAGACTACTACCAAATAGTGTGTCAAGACTACTACCAAATAGTGTGAAGACTACTACCAGATAGTGTGTCAAGACTACTACCAGATAGTGTGTCTAGACTGCTACCAGATAGTGTGTCAAGACTACTACCAGATAGTGTGTCAAGACTACTACCAGATAGTGTGTCAAGACTACTACCAGATAGTGTGTCAAGACTGCTACCAGATAGTGTGTCAAGACTACTACCAGATAGTGTGTCAAGACTACTACCAGATAGTGTGTCAAGACTACTGCCAGATAGTGTGTCAAGACTACTACCAGATAGTGTGTCAAGACTACTACCAGATAGTGTGTCAAGACTACTACCAGATAGTGTGTCAAGACTACTACCAGATAGTGTGTCAAGACTACTGCCAGATAGCGTGTGAAGACTACTACCAGATAGTGTGTCAAGACTACTACCAGATAGTGTGTCAAGACTACTACCAGATAGTGTGTCAAGACTACTACCAGATAGTGTGTGAAGACTGCTACCAGAAAGTGCACCACAGAGAGCCCAATTACTTGGATATAATAGAAGCAGAACTAAAGGTCAACCATGCAAGTGATGGATAGATGGAATATCTGAAGCTGAAATCACCTGCATCTGTGTTGCATATACCAGGGCTCACAGCCGATGCCTCTTCAAAATGTGATGCTGAAAAGCAGAACAGGACTAAAGAAGAAGAAGAAGGAGCACTGGTCCTGGTGCACAACCATGTGTGGCTCAGCACCGGTGCATCCCGTTCAGTTTTAGTTCAAGATAAATATATGACACTGTTTGCACACCTAATATTGGGCTACAATGGAAATTGATAAATATGGCACTTTCTGCACATTTGATATTGGGTTATAATGAAAATTGATACATGTGTGACTCTACTTGCACATTTAATATTGAGTTATTACCCTTTGGGAATGGGTGAACAGTGGGGAGGCGCAGATGGATATCATTACGGTCTGAGGAGAATGGCGCTGCAAGGAGTTACAAGGGGATCTGGCCAACGCTCAACACTCAGGGGAAGGATGAATATACAATCAGATGGTTACTGGCACCATCGGAATTGGAACTCTTCACTTGCTGCTGAAGATGGGGGGGACGGAGCACTTATGCGAGTGTCCCGAGTGTTTTGGTGTTGATTCCTAATTCAACATTTAACATTTATTGAGTTATTATAAAAATTGTTGTGGTATTTTTTGCACATTTGGTATTGGATTGTAATGAAAATTGATATATCTGTGACACTGCTTGCATATTAGCTATTGTGTTATAATAAAAAATGATAAATATGTGACACTGTTTGCACCTTTAATATTGGATTATGCAACAGCTGTCTTCTAATTTGATATTGGGATTTTCATGGCATTGATAACAAAAGTTTGAGCTTTATGTAAATATTCCCATTTGTTTCAGGTCATTTTGGACAGAATCTATAAAAATGTCTGGGAGAAAGTCAACTCCTCATCTCTGGTCAAACGAACATTGTTCAAGTTTGCCTATGATTACAAGTACAAACATATGCTTGCAGGGTTCGACACTCCTCTTTGTAACAAGTGAGTTGTTTAGCATTTCTTTGTCTAGTAACTGCACCATAGTAGAAAAGGTTTTGTAGTACTTTATATAATATGTGAGCCTCAGTGAATGGAGTGTGACAGTACTTTGTGAAACAGGTAAGTCAAAGTTGCAGCATTCGACAATAACTTGTGCAAAGTCCTGGGAGGTAGAGATGGTTGGCGAGATGTTGATCATATCACCTGCCGAGTGCCAGTTGGTCTATAAAATATAGGTCTAGCTCCATTTGCCCAATATGCCTGAAGGCGTAGAAAAGGATCCTTTACTTTTACTTTACACTCAAACTACATCAGAAAAGTGCAGTAGTTCACTGAGACAAAAAAAATTACACAGTGCTTCATTCTCTGACTACAGTAATGCAATAGTTCACTGAGACAACAAAATTACCACAATGCTTCACTCTCTGACTACAGTAATGCAATAGTTCACTGAGACTACAACAAAATTACTATAGTGCTTCACTCTCTGACTACAGTAATGCAATAGTTCACTAAGACTAGAACAAAATTACTATAGTGCTTCACTCTCTGACTACAGTAATGCAATAGTTCACTGAGACTACAACAAAATTACCACAATGCTTCACTCTCTGACTACAGTAATGCAATAGTTCACTGAGACTACAACAAAATTACTATAGTGCTTCACTCTCTGACTACAGTAATGCAATAGTACACTGAGACTAGAACAAAATTACACAGTGCTGCACTCTGTGACTACAGTAATGCAATAGTTCACTGAGACTACAACAAAATTAAAACAATGCTTCACTCTGTGACTACAGTACTGCAATATTTCACTAAGACTACAATAAAAATGCACAATGCTTCACTCTCTGACTACAGTAATGCAATAGTACACTGAGACTACACAATTACTACAGTGCTTCACTCTCTGACCACAGTAACGCAATAGTACACTGAGACTACACAATTACTACAGTGCTTCACTCTCTGACTACAGTAATGCAATAGTACACTGAGACTACAAAATTACCACAGTGCTTCACTCTCTGACTACAGTAATGCAATAGTACACTGAGACTACAAAATTATCATTGCTTTACTCTGTGACTGCAGTAATGCAATACTTCACTGAGACTACAACAATTTACAAAATTACACAGTGCTTCACTCTGACAACAGTAATAATTCATGGTATTTACTGAAAATAATAATGTGTTACACATTGGTTTGCTAAAATTTCAGCAAAGTTACACAATGTTTCACTTTAAAAATTACCCACAATTGTCCAGTCTCCACAGTAAGTCTTTAAACAGAATTACAGTGACTCCGAATGCTTCACTGAAACTACAACAGAACTCTGTTGTAGCTTCAGTGAAGCATTCAGAGTCACTGCAATGGTTTACTGAAACTATTACAGTCATTCACAGAATGAAATTCTACAATTACAGGATAGTCTTCAAGAGTGTGACAGACCTGTTGGGAGGCCGAGTGCGACTGATGCTGTCTGGTGGGGCTCCCTTATCTGGCACAACCCAGAGGTTCATGAACATATGCTTTTGTTGTCCAGTTGGTCAGGGTTATGGCCTGACAGAAACATGCGGTGCAGGCACTGTTGTTGAATGTACGTATGGTTTTATTTGTTTAGGTTATGGTTTGGAATGTGTGTATGTTGTATGTTTGGTCAGTCAGTGTAGAAAGTACAAGTGCTGTTGTGTGTTTGGGCCATGGTATGGAATATGTGTATGTTGTATATTTAGTGACAGTTGTAATGTAGAATGTGCAAGTGCTGTTGTATGTTTTGGTTGTGGTACGGAATATGTATGTGTTGTATGTTTGGTCACAGTGAATGTGGAATGTACAAGTGCTGTTGTATGTTTGGGTTGCGGTATTGAGGTAGGTTGTATTTTTGAGACATAGTATGAAATTTTAATTGTTTTGGGTTTGCGTGTATGTGTGTTGTTGTAATTTTGTGTTTGTTCTTACTTTTGTTGTGTTAGGTCAGTGATATAATGTAGAATATGTGCATATTGTTGTATGTTTGAGCTATGGTCTAAAATATTGTTTTTTTTAATGTTCAGTTTGTTGTTTTTGATTTTACTTTGTATTTCTTATTTTGTCTTGTATTTGACAGCTCAAATTGGCAGTTGATGTTACATTGTCTTTCATGAAATAAATAACATTAGTTCATAATAAGGAAATATATATTAATAACTCTTGCATAGTGCATAGAAAGCTAAGGAAAACTGCTGAATGTGAACTTATGTAGTGAAACCACACACCAGCCAATAAATGCGGGGATTAGTTTATGCCCTAAAACTACCCACACCATCCTAAAAAAAATGTTGCTGTAACTTTTTAACATGGTACTAGTTCTAACGTTATGTAGTGAAACCACGCACCAGGGGTTAGTTTATGTCCTAAAACTACCACCCCAAATGTGGCTGTAACTTTTTAACATGGTACTAGTTCTAACGTTATGTAATGAAACCACACACCAGGGGTTAGTTTATGCCCTAAAACTACCCCCCCTCCCACTCCCCCCCCCCCCCCCCCCCCCAAAAAAATTTGGCTGTAACCTTTTAACATGGAACTAGTTCTAACATTATGTAGTGAAACCACACACCTGCCAATAAATGCAGAGGTTAGTTATGCCCTAAAACAAAAACTAAACAAAAACATACTGCAACTGTTATCTTTTTACATAGAACTAGTTCTAACATTAGCTAGTGAAATCACGCGCTAGCCAATAAATGCAACAGGTTAGTTTGTGTCCTTGAAAAGAAAAAGTGCAGCTGTAGCTTTTTAATGGAACAAGTTCTAACATTACTATGTTGAATATTTCATATACCTTGTTTATATTATGAGGATATTTCAAGCATGGGATTTCTATTATATTTGATATCTCTTGTTTGAAACAAAACAATACAATCTAAACAAGAACTAGTCAGCCTCTTAGTAATACATTAACTGCAAATGAAAAAAGGAATGTTGCAGATAGGAAGCCTTCATCAGCTCACAACACAACAAAGATAAATTATTACATAAAAGAATCCAAAAATAACCTAATGGGGGGGGGGGGGTGAAATGAACCAAGACGTAGACTTGGAATGTGCCTTGGTTTACACCGGCTTCAACGTCTAGGGTTGACAACACAAACACCGCTCAGCTTCATTGTACATTCTGTCAGTTTATTCTGGTCCATTTATTTCACTCGCGACATATTCGAACACTAACCATTCACAACATAAAAACTACATCTTCAATTACTACAACCGTCTTCACTGACTTCTGATGATCGACTGACCACGAGGCTAGCTCGGTCTTCGCCTCGCTTACTCCACCGGCCACAAGTATCTCGTGCCGTCACTTGTAGCACGGACTTCCTGCTTGCCACAATGTACTCATGGAGACCATGCAAAGCAGGGTCATCACAGGGGTGAAGGGGGTTAAATTATTGTGTTTTATTTTCTTCTTCTTCTTCTTGTGCCTTTCTAACCCCCAATGGAGCATAGGCCCTCAACCAGCTCACGCCGTCGTTCTATCCCTCGCTGTCGCATGCAACTCTCCCTGTTTGATATTACATGTGTGCAATTAACAGCAAATTTTATTTTTCATGTGTTCAGTTTGTGCTATGAGAAGTATATACTGTGCTGTGTATTATCATTCATATAATATATTTGACATTTCATATGCCTGTTTATCCCTCAGTCTCTGATTTGACAACAGGACGGGTTGGGGCACCACTTATCTGCTGTGAAATTCGGCTTCGGGACTGGGTGGAAGGTAAGGATTGCTTGCTCATGTTAATGGTTGGGGACACTTAGCCGTGCCATTAGTCATCTCACTGTGTATTTAAAGTCAGCTGTAAAACTAATTAATCAAGAACCGATATCACAGCAGTGAGTGCTATCCTGTAGATGAATCGTATTCAGCCTAGGAAGGGGGGGGGGGGGGAGGTCAAGCAGCTTTGAAATTGAGTGCATTTTTACTTTTAATATTTTGTCATAGTAACATATTTTTTTGGTTTAGTTAAATCATGAATTTAATATTTTAAAAAATTATTTACAAAACAAAAAGCACAGATGTTTAAGTCTTAATTGGCACTTTGTACATTTACTGTTCAAAATCTAATTAATAGGATAAATTAGTTGTGTATCCATTGCAGGAAGTTGCAGAACCAACCCCAGCCATTTTGTTGTCTGTTGTGGTTTTTCTAGGCAAATTTTACTTTCAGTAGGTTTGCCATTGCTTTCTAAACTGTCAGCTCTCGATACCACTATTGGAATCAACGCAAGGCGGTCTGCTGCCAAAATGCCTGCACCTGGGCTCGAACCCGGCACTCTGGCATTTCAAAGCACATTCACTGTGTCTTAAGCCACAAACGCCAACAGTTAATAGGATTAGGATAACATGTGTTCTTATTATAGATAAAGAACTTTTTGTGTCGCTATGTCGCCTCTTTTTAATCATCATTTTTCTTAAGTTGAAGGTCTTGCCATAAAATGCTGGAGGGGAAAAAAGGTGGAAATGGGGGGGGGGGGGGGGGAGGGGAATCTAACACTGCACAGTTTAAAATGTCATCTTCACAATATCCACATATTCACATCTTCACAGTATCCACATATTCACATCTTCACAGTATCCACATCTTCACAATATTCACATCTTCACAATATCCACATCTTCACAATATCCACATCTTCACAATATCCACATCTTCACAATATCCACACATTTACATCTTCACAATATCCACATCTTCACAATATTCACATCTTCACAATATTCACATCTTCACAATATCCACATATTTACATCTTCACAGTATCCACATATTCACATCTTCACAATATCCACATATTCACATCTTCACAATATTCACATCTTCACAATATTCACATCTTCACAATATTCACATCTTCACAATATCCACATATTCACATCTTCACAATATTCACATCTTCACAATATCCACATATTCACATCTTCACAATATCCACATATTCACATCTTCACAATATTCACATATTCACATCTTCACAATATTCACATCTTCACAATATCCACATATTCACAATGTTCACAATATTCACATCTTCACAATATCCACATATTCACATCTTCACAATATTCACATCTTCACAATATCCATATCTTCACAATATTCACATATTCACAATATCCACATATTCACATCTTCACAATATTCACATCTTCACAATATCCACATCTTCACAATATTCACATCTTCACAGTATCCACATCTTCACAATATTCACATCTTCACAGTATCCACATCTTCACAATATTCACATCTTCACAGTATCCACATATTCACATCTTCACAGTATCCACATATTCACATCTTCACAATATTCACATCTTCACAATATCCACATATTCACATCTTCACAGTATCCACATATTCACATCTTCACAATATCCACATCTTCACAATATCCACATCTTCACAATATCCACATATTCACATCTTCACAGTATCCACACCTTCACAATATCCACATCTTCACAGTATCCACATATTCACATCTTCACAGTATCCACATATTCACATCTTCACAATATTCACATCTTCACAATATCCACATATTCACATCTTCACAGTATCCACATATTCACATCTTCACAATATCCACATATTCACATCTTCACAATATTCACATCTTCACAATTTCCACATATTCACATCTTCATAATATTCACATCTTCACAATATCCACATATTTACATCTTCACAATATCCACATCTTCACAATATCCACATCTTCACAATATCCACATATTCACTAGTTTATTTGTAGTTTGATTTACATCACTTTCTAGGCAGTTTTATAACTGCACTACACACCGCAAGGCAATTAGAGAAGTCTATGAATCACTGTTCAAAGGAAGTAGGCCTCCCACCTATGACATCACAAAAAGTCTGGTCAGGCCAACAATAGCAGTAGATGGCTGTGGTCTGTGATAGTATAAAAATGACAAGCTATAGTGCAGTATCTGGATACTGGCCCAAAGATATTGGGTTTGAATTTGCATTGGGACAGATTTTTATAATTGTCTTAGGGCTCTAAATGTTGTATGTGGAGCTAAGAACTGACATCATACAAGTTGGGGCATTCTCATAAGCGCTCCATCCTCATCTTCAGCAGTCAAGTCTGATGGTGCCAGTAGCAGTGTGATTATATGTCAGTCTTGCCTTTTCTCTTGAGTGCAGTGTCCACCAGATTCCCTGGTCACTCCTTGCTGTACCATTCACTCTTCCCTGTGTGGGTTCCAGGGCCCTATTATAGGGAAAACAAGAACAGACCCACTGCCTACACAAAAGCATGTCTAAGAGTCGACCAATTGGGAGCTTTCCTTTCTTCTAAATCGGAGTGCATCTGCCTGAGAAGCAAGAAACCAGCAGTATGCATACAAATGAGTCAGATCTGTAAAATGGCTGCACAGGCAACACTCAGGTTCTGGCACAGGGCTGCAGTCCACACATGGATGAACAACCAGAACTTTCAGCCAGAGTTTACAGCTAGTGAATGCAAAGAAGAAGAAGAAGAAGAAGACTCCAGACCATAATCAAAGAGACAAATTAGTGTCTCATCATTATTAGACTTTACAAAAAAATTATTGTACACTTTCGTGAACACTAGAGCTTGCTCCCTGTCTATATCCTCTTCATGCCTTTTTTGACATGTGAGTTGAAATTAAAGTTGAGAGGATCAATTTCTTCTTCTTATTCTTCTTCTTTGCATTCGGTCTTGCCTCGCATGCTCAGATCAGACCATCAGGTTAGTTGCCTCTATGAACTCGCATGTCAGTAGCAGGTCCTTTATGGTTCCCCATAGCTTGCTTTGCACACTTTGCTCTTGAGGCCAGGTGTCTTTTCGGTTGTATGTAGAGTAGGCAGGTCTGCAGAATGTGCTCAGGTGTTTGTGGTCCTGTTTGACAGGCACACTGGGGGGACTGTACAATCTTTATTTTATGCATGTGGTAGTTGAGCCTGCATTGTCCTGTTTGTAGATGGAAAATTGTTGTATGTTGCTTTCTGTTGAGTCTGCTGATGGGGTCTTGTGGATGTTTACTGTTAGCTTGTTCTCTCCACAATTTCTTGTATTTTCACTTGATAAGTGTTCTGATTTCTGATAACAACAATGTTTGGGTGTGTTGTTTCTTCTTTGTTCCATTTTTAGCAAGTCTGTCTGTTAACTCATTTCCTGGTATGCCACTGGAGAACGATCTGATCGTTTTCTGCGAGTCTGTTTAGCTGGCGGGTCAGTTCTCTTTCCATGTTGTCTCGTGGATCCCTCTGTGCCGCCTGGAGGAGTGACATGCATTCACAAAGGAAAACAATTTTGCTGTTTATCTTTCTTCAAGAACTTTGGCTGAATTTCATTTTGCGCGGTTTGTCCTATATGGATTGGTCTCTTTAGAGAATTGCTCACACAGAGCATTGCATAATGGAGAGGTTCCCTAGATCCAGTGATGATCTAAACATTGCAGTCTTTAGTGAATCCTGGAGCTGGTTTAAAAAACAAACATTCCTAGGTTAAAGGTTCCTGTTCATGTCTTTCAAGTATCAGGCGGAGATTACCAGACCTGTCATATATTTTTATGGATCAATAAACACTTGAGGGATGACGGGGTCACTATCGCATTAGCTGCCTTTACTTCTCAGGACATTACCTGGCACTTATTTTAGGCTGAATCAGCCTGGGGGTCACGGTTTATTTTGAAAAAAAAATGGCCTCCGTCGTGTGGATTTGAACCCTACACATTTAGCCTGGCCAGCAAGAGTCATGCTGTGGCGCTACCATGGCTCTCTAAAGCTAGTTTACCTGCAAATAATTGTTTCCATCTGTTGCCAGGCAACTACACCACGGAAAACAAACCCTACCCTCAGGGAGAGGTTCTCATTGGTGGAGACAACATTGCTGTCGGCTACTACAACAGTCCGGAGAAAACTGCCGAAGATTTTATCACAATTGACAGGGTGCGTTACTTCTGTACAGGAGACATCGGCCAGTTTGAGGAGGACGGGTGTCTTCGAATTATCGGTAAATCCTGTGTTTTTATTTTTTCTTCTTCTTCAGCGTTCCGAGCCCTTGAGGTTCATTGCTGCAGATATCACCAGCCTCCAATCGTCTCTCTGGTTGGACTTCTTTTACCTGTGTTTTTGTTTAGGTTTTCTATTTTTGAAATAGTGTTGAAATCTGGAATTTCGTTGAAATAATAATAGCATTTTATCATTTAGATATGGTGTTTATTTAAATTAAAACTTTTAAAGGAATGATATTAGAATTATCCTATTTAAATATAGTTTGGAAATCTACTTTCATTGAAAAATTCATAGAATGTTCTTATTTAGATCCATCCTTGAAGTCTGCAATTTAATTTAATTAATATATAGATTTTCGTGTCAAGATATAGCCTGGAAATCTGAACTTGTATTGAAATAATATATATATAGAATTATCCTATTTAAATATAGTGTTGAAATCTGGACTTTCATAGACAAATTCGTAGAATGTTCTTATTTAGAAACATCCTTGAAGTCTGCGATTTAAAAAAAAATAATATATAGATTTTTCCTGTCAAGATATAGCCTGGAAACCCGATCGTTTGTTGAAATAATATGTATAGATTTTTCCTGTTTGGATATATATGTTGTTATAGGGAAATTTTATTGAAATTATACTTAGAATTTTCCTCTTTAGATATAGCATTACAGTCTAGACTTCCATTGAAATAATACTTAAAATTTTCCTGTTTAGATATAGCATTACAGTCTAGACTTCCGTTAAAATAATACTTAGAATTTTCCTGTTTAGATATAGCATTACAGTCTAGATTTCCATTAAAATAATACTTAGAATTTTCCTTTTTAGATATAGCATTACAGTCTAGATTTCCACTGAAATAATACTTAGAATTTTCCTGTTTAGATATAGCATTACAGTCTCGACTTCCATTAAAATAATACTTACAATTTTCCTGTTTAGATGTAGCATTACAGTCTAGACTTCCATTGAAATAATACTTAGAATTTTCCTGTTTAGATATAGCATTACCGTCTCGACTTCCATTAAAATAATACTTAGAATTTTCCTGTTTAGATATAGCATTACAGTCTCGACTTCCATTAAAATAATACTTAGAATTTTCCTGTTTAGATATAGCATTACAGTCTAGACTTCCATTGAAGTAATAAAAACAGTTGTCTTATTTAGACACAGCTGTCAAATCTGGAATTCTGTTAAATTTGAATATTGACATAGTTGTAGAGGACTCTTGTGACAGGACACAGAGGTTGACATGCAATATCATCATGTACAGTGGTAAGTAGTCTATCTATCAGGACTTCAGGTTACTTGGTAACCGTTGGACCCTAGTATAACCTTGTGGTTGAATGGGGTTCCAGGGATTTATAAAAGGGAGATAGTGCCTCTTTGGGTCACTGGTTGTTAATCACTCAGTGTGCTGTCCTTGTAGGGTTCACTTTACTCACTCACATGCTGATAAGAATTGATTGTCATGGTTTGTCATCTCATGCGATCACCAGTCTCACTGAGTGTGCTGTCCTTGTAGGGTTCACTTCACTCACTCACATGCTGGTAAGAATTGACTGTCATGGTTTGTCATCTCATGCGATCACCAGTCTCACTGAGTGTGCTGTCCTTGTAGGGTTCACTTCACTCACTCACATGCTGGTAAGAATTGACTGTCATGGTTTGTCATCTCATGCGATCACCAGTCTCACTGAGTGTGCTGTCCTTGTAGGGTTCACTTCACTCACTCACATGCTGGTAAGAATTGACTGTCATGGTTTGTCATCTCATGCCATCACTAAAGTCATGGATCAAGTTATTGTTGTCCTGCAATGTGACCAAGTTATACAGATATTTATCTGCTCTTTTTTCCATTAAATTACTGCTCATCACCACGTGTTTTAGTGTGTTAAATTATGAATAACCATGGCATCTTTAAAGAAGGTAGTCTGCCATTGCTTTCCTTCTTGGCAGAAACCATGCTGGTCATATCATCATAGCCATTGTCACTGTACTGAGATCTTCTGCCCGTTGTTAGAGAACTTGAGATCCCGATGAGCAACTTTCTGTCAGCTGCCCTCTAGCTTGGTCCACCAGCCTCTTAGCATACACTGTAATTGTATGCTACTGTTAAAGACCCTGCTTTCCTTCTTGACCTACTACTGGTGGGTAATGAACAGACAGACTGGCTGGAACCCGCACCACTGGATGGTGAATTGATATATGACAAGGCAGATGTGGTCTGGGCCCTTTGGGAACAAGCAACAGAATCAGTAGAGAAAGAATGTTATTATGGCCTAGAGAGAATAAGGCACCTGGGTGTAACCAGAGGGTCTGGCCGGCTCACTACACTCCAAGGAAAGGCAAGACGGACATATAACCAGATTACCGGTACCATCAGTTTTTGAACTCTGTGCTGGCTGTTGAAGATGAGGACAGAGCTTGCATGGGAATGCCCCGAGTGCTGTGAAGTCAATTCTTGACTCAACTCAACTCCTTCTTGACAGGAACCATTCTGGTTATGTGACGGTAGCCATTGGCACCATCGTATGATCCTCGGCCCATTGTCAGAGAAACATGATACCCTGACCAACATTTATCTGTCGGCTGCCCTGCCAGTAGCTCACTCAGTATCCATCCATCCATCCCCATACGGGGGACAGTTGTTGTTTTTAATATTAAATCCCCAACTTAGCTGGACTTCAGGTTACTTTGTCATCAGAGCCCTGATATAACTTTACGGTTGAACTGGGTTTCTGTGTCCTGCACCTGGGGGAACTCTCATCTGAATGGTGGTAGTTTGGTCCACCGGATGTTAATTGCTCCTTGTGGGTAAACATCACTCAGCTCAGGTCAGTCCACAAAATCCAGAAAATATACACAAACATTGTAATTATGTGTAGTTATCCATCCTGCTTTCCTTCTTGACAGTAACCATTCTAATCATATAAATGTAGCCATTATAATTATAGTAGGATCCTGTGCCAATTGTCTGGGAAATCTATGGTATGATCCTGTGCCCATTGTCTGGGAAATCTATAATATGATCCTGTGCCCATTGTCTGGGAAATCTATAATATGATCCTGTGCCCATTGTCTGGGAAACCTTTGGTATGATCCTGTGCCCATTGTCTAGGAAACCTATAGTATGATCCTGTGCCCATTGTCTAGGAAACCTATAGTATGATCCTGTGCCCATTGTCTAGGAAATCTATAATATGATCCTGTGCCCATTGTCTGAGAAACCTATAGTATGATCCTGTGCCCATTGTCTGGGAAACCTATAGTATGATCCTGTGCCCATTGTCTAGGAAACCTATAGTATGATCCTGTGCCCATTGTCTAGGAAATCTATAATATGATCCTGTGCCCATTGTCTGGGAAACCTATAGTATGATCCTGTGCCCATTGTTTAGGAAACCTGTAGTATGATCCTGTTTCCATTGTGTAGGAAACCTATAATATGGTCCTGTGCCCATTGTCTGGGAAACCTATAGTATGATCCTGTGCCCTTTGTCTAGGAAACCTATAGTATTATCCTGTGCCCTTTGTCTAGGAAACCTATAGTATGAACCTGTGCCCATTGTCTATGAAACCTATAGAATGATCCGGTCCCTAATGTCTGGGAAACCTAAAATATGATCCTGTACCCATTGTCTAGGAAACCTATAATATGATCCTGTGCCCATTGTCTGGAAAACCTATAGTATGATCCTGTGCCCATTGTCCGGGAAACCTATAGTATATTTCTGTGCCCATTGTCTGGGAAACCTGAAGCCCTGACCAACATTTAACTCTCACCTGATGTCAAGCTAAGTCCACTATAAACATGCACACTGTAATGGTGTTCCTCCTGTTCTCCACCCGGCAGACCGCAAGAAGGACCTGGTCAAGCTTCAGCATGGAGAGTATGTGTCACTGGCACAGGTGGAGACTGTCCTGAAGATGTGCCCTCTGGTGGAACAGATCTGTGTTGTGGCCGACAACTTGGAGTCCAACATTGTGGCCCTAGTGGTTCCTAATGAAGCACAGCTGCTGGCTGTGGCCAAGAAAGTTGGAGTTGACGAACAGGACTTGAGGAAGATATGCAAGAATAGGTCTGTGGTGGCAAGTGTGCTCAAGGAACTCACAAACCATGGCCTGAAATGTAAGTGTGGTGTCTGTTAGTGGTTAGTGTCATCTTTTCATTGTAGGTGTGGTGTCGTTTAGAAGCTAGTGTTATGTTTTCATTGTAGGTGTGGTGTTGTTTATAAGCTAGTGTTATGTTTTCATTGTAGGTGTGGTGTCTGTTAGTGGTTATTGTCATGTTTTCATTTTAGATGGAGTGTCTGTTAGTGGTTAATCTCAGATCATCGTTGTAAATGTGGTGTCTGTTAGCGGTTAATATAATGTTTGCATTGCAGGCGTTGTGTCTGTTAGTGGGTAATTTCATGTTTTTATGGTAGGTATGGTTATTGTCATGTTTTCATTGTAGGTGGAATGTCATCTGTTAGTGGTTAATCTCAGGTCATCATTGTAATTGTGGTGTCTGTTAGTGGTTAATCTCAGGTCATCATTGTCAATGTGGTGTCTGTTAGTGGTTAATCTCAGGTCATCATTGTAATTGTGGTGTCTGTTAGTGGTTAATCTCAGGTTATCATTGTAATTGTGGTTTCTGTTAGTGTTTAATCTCAGGTCATCATTGTAATTGTGGTTTCTGTTAGTGTTTAATCTCAGGTCATCATTGTAATTGTGGTGTCTGTTTGTAGTTAGTCTCAGGTCATCATTGTAATTGTGGTGTCTGTTAGTGGTTAATCTCAGGTTATCATTGTAATTGTGGTGTCTGTTAGTGGTTAATCTCAGGTCATCATTGTAATTGTGGTGTCTGTTAGTGGTTAATCCTAGGTCATCATTGTAATTGTGGTGTCTGTTTATGGTTAGTCTCAGGTTATCATTGTAATTGTGGTGTCTGTTAGTGTTTAATCTCAGGTCATCATTTTAAATGTGGTGAAAGAAAGAAATATATACCACTGTCATTTATCACATTTTATAGCCATGATGTGTCAGTAGTATGGTACAGTTCATAGCATCCTTCAGTACAACTTGGCACTTCAGTAAAAAAAGCCTTGCAAATCACAATGCTAGTCATCAACCAGGGAGTGTGTGGCAAATCTTCCTTGGACTCATCAGATGATGGTGATGATTCTGCATCAAAAACGGCTGTGATATCTTCATCATGTGTAGGCACAGACATTTTCAAAATCTACAGGCTCTGAATGAATATTTTCACTAGAACTATCAGTATCGGACACTGCTGCACTAGTATTTGCTAACCAAAAGTGTAACTGGCGGTCAAGTCTTAGTTAAACTTGACTTTGAAGCGACATGCCAATGTTTCACTGTCGATGATGTTTTTTGTGGCACTTTGATAGATTTATCGAAGCCAGAGTCACCAAACTATTCAATATTATCCTCACCTTAATTTTCCAAAGAAAATCAAATTAAGAAAATCAGCAACATAAAAATGATTAAAAATTACCACCGACCGCTTCGAGAATTTGACACTATGGCGAAAATATTCGTCAATTATCACTGACATGGGAGGTAACGCTGAAAATTCATCAGATATTTAGTATAGTGCTTTGAAGTTGAACAGGCTGAAGGCTACAAACAAATTCAAATTTCATCGCAAAAATCGCTATTTTAACATGACGGCGAGTGTCCAAAGCTACCATCGCAAGGGGTGCAACGTTGGCAGAAAGAAGTCAATGTCGCCTTGTCACATAACTGTGAGGGTGAAGACAAAGACAAAGAAGTTTGAATCTGTGGGACACATAAAGCCATGTACAGATAGAGAGTTGGCACTTTTCCATCTGTCCAGATGACAGTGTTATATTACGCTGTGAGGAGGCTTGGGAATCAGCCCATGGCGACGGCAGGTGTAACTAGAAGGACTGTTAAGAAAAGCTTTTCACGTTTAGAGCATTCGATTTGAGAACTGATGATGCTGTCACATGTATGTAGTGTTGTTCTCACACGATCAGCTCACTGTGTGGCATCTGAGGCCCCATTGTGGGGAAAACAAGAATAGACCCACTGCCTCCCCAACAAGCATGTCATAGGTGTCGACTCATTGGGAGCTTAAAATCGGAGTGCATCTGGCTGAGGAGTAAGGAAGAACCAACTGCACACAAATGAGCCAGTAAAACGGATGTACACGCAAAGCTCAAGCACAAAATCAAGTTCCAAATGGACGAACAACCAGGACTTTCCACCAAAGCTTACGGCTGGTGAACGAAGAAAAGGCGACGATCAGCTCTCAACCTGTCTGCAATCATTTTCCGGCTATCTTCCAAATAACGGTCCCAAATTATCGAGGCAGAAAATATACCCTAACAGGGCCTCAGTCATCTGTCCATTGTGTATTTCCAGGGACTATACCGCCAAATTGCAAAATTCTGGGGACTTACGCCACTGCCGAGAGTATCCCCGCGCCGCTTGCGAGGCGTGGGTTGGGGCTTAACTAGATGGCTAGGACTCACAAGCAAATAAAATGAAGACAGCTTCAGGAAATGCAGTAGCTGCTGCTCGTGAGTCCCAGCCATCTAGTTTAGCTCCATTTGGGGATACTCTGGGCGGTGGCGGAAGTCGCCGGAAGTGCGCAATTTAAGTTGCCGGAAGTTTGCAATTGACACATGACTGAGGTCCTTTTAGGGTATATTTTCTGCCTCGATAATTTGGGACTGTTATTCGGAAGATAGCCCATTTTTTTTTTTAATCCCATTCTCTTACTGATTTCCCCCTCTAAAATAACATGGTCCATGGCATTCCCCCTTCTTGATTCTACCTCATTACCTGTATTATACAAATCCTGCTTTCACACGTCATACCGGCGAAGAACCTAGGTTGATAAATCGAATGATTCTTCAGAGACAAATAATGTTTGCCCTACTGCTCACAGGGGAGCCACCCTGGTGTAGTAGGTTGATAAATCGAATGATTCTTCAGAGACAAATAATGTTTGCCCTACTGCTCACAGGGGAGCCACCCTGGTGTAGTAGGTTGATAAATCGAATGATTCTTCAGAGACAAATAATGTTTGCCCTACTGCTCACAGGGGAGCCACCCTGGTGTAGTAGGTTGATAAATCGAATGATTCTTCAGAGACAAATAATGTTTGCCCTACTGCTCACAGGGGAGCCACCCTGGTGTAGTAGGTTGATAAATCGAATGATTCTTCAGAGACAAATAATGTTTGCCCTACTGCTCACAGTTGAGCCACCCTGGTGTAGTAGGTTGACACTCCCCTGTGAATCCAATTGTCACGGGTTCAGATCTGCGTGGATTCCGAATATAATTTTTTTTTCCTTGGCTTCCAGGTTGACTCATCCTTAAATGGGTACCAGGTAAAGTCCTTGGAAGTAAAGGCGGCTGGCAGGATGTTGATCACATCACCTGTCAAGGGCTGATGGGTCTAAAAATATGAGTCTAGCCTCATTTGCCCGATGTGGCACCGGCGTGTAAAGTATATTTACATTTGACTTGATTGTTGTTGACAGCCAAGCTGCAGCGAATGGAGATCCCAGCCAGCATCACGCTACTGTCCGAGCCCTGGATGCCGGACAGCGGCCTGGTCACCGATGCCTTCAAGCTGAAGCGCAAAGTCCTGGAGGAGCATTTCAGGTCGGAGATCACTGCCATGTATGGAAGTGGAGCTTAGATGTCGCTGAGTGTCAGCTGCTGCTACTGCTGCAGCTGTAAGAGTGTAAGCCGATGACCCAGCCAGAGTCTGTTGAGCGTGTTCTTTTGGAGAACAGCACTGCATCTTGTATGTGAATCATGGGCTGTCCGAGATGGAGACATACACCAGTTTTACACCATACATGATTGTCTCTGTACCTTCCAGATGTCTGTTTTGCTTTCATTTTGTTTTCTCCCTGTTTTATTTACCCTAATGGTTCCTTTAATCTAATTTACTTCTAATAGTTTGACTTCTTCATTATCAACTCTTTGAGTCCCAGGGGGTTTAGCATCACAGGCGGGGGGGGGGGGGGGGTAAAGGGAGTCATAAAATTGGCGCATCATGCGTTCATCGGGCTTCTAGGTAGGAACCTATGAATGTATGATGCGTTCCTTTGGACTCAAAGAGTTAATTGTTTTGAAATGCCTGTACGAATTGTGAAGACGGGAAAACAGTACAGAGGATTCACCCTTTACTTGAGGGTTCAGCTTGTTAGCAGGGGTTTAATATCATGGTGTCCTTCAAGTTTGTATACATAGGAACAATAAACATGTCACAAACATCGTCACAAGCAAACCTCCAGATGCGCTTTTATGTGTTCTTCAGCATTTGGGGGGGGGGGGGGGGGGGGGAACATGCATTGAAATGTGCTTTCAAAACAATGTTTATCATGCATATTATGTCAGTAAAATTGGTTTCCATAAAAAAGTGTGTTTCCTGTGTATATTAACTGATAGGACACTGTTTGTATGTGCTATGTGGTTATTTTAGTGTATCACAACACATGGACAGGAAAATCTATCAGGACACTTGATAATGCGCATTGTTCAATTTCCTCTTTATCATTTACTATTGCTTGTCCATACATTTCTGTCAGTTTCTCTGCATAGAAAAGGGACCCTTTTCCATGCCGTGTGGCATATGTGGTATATGTCTCTGGACCCGTATGTTATGGGTGGTGTAGTCAACATTAAACTGGGTGCCTGTTCTTCCAGGGAAGCCGCTGTGGTGTAGTGGCTAGATGCTCGCCGGCTGGTCTGAAGGTTGTGGGTTCAAATCTAAATGGAGCCGGGGGAAAAGTCCTGGGAAGTAAAGGCAGCTGGCATGATGTTGACCACTTCAGCCACCGAGAGCCGATTGGTCTATAAAACATATATATCTAACACTGTATACCCAATACGTGTAAGGCACGGAAAAGGGTCCTTTTATTTGCAGTTGTTTATGCTGCCTTTTTTTTTTACCAGTTTCTCTGGGTAAAAGAAGGATCCTTTCTGTTCCATCGGCACATGTATGTTAGGTGATTGACTCACATCTTGTTTTTGCACATTTGTTGGCCTCTGTTGTAATCAACATTGAACTGGGTACCTGTACTTCCGCGGACATTTCCTGGTATCCGTTTAAGACTGGGATGACCTGGGAGCTTAAGATCAAGTACAAAAATCTGCATCAGTGCAAATTTTAGTTTAGAAAATAGTCTAAAACTATCTTTAGATTGTAGTGATAGAATAATGTATAAATTTTATAGACTTTTAGTCTAGAAATATAAAGGGCAGGTTCGTTTCCCAGTATGGTAACTATAGCTTTCGAGACAGGTTTGATTCTTGGCATGTAACTGTAGCTTTCAATTGTTATGTTGTGCAGTGTTTCCTTCTAGCTTTCTACTTCTTTCTGTGAGTGCAGTTTAATAGATGTCTGTTTTTTTTAGATTAGCTGTTTGTAACTTATATTGCTGTCCAGATGTTACCATTTTACTTAGATCACTGTGCCTGTTTGGCTTTTTTAACAACATTATTAAAGGACTCTTTGTGTGCCAACTGGTGCATTAGGAATATTATACTGGATCAATTAGCAGTTGGTGGTTGATGAGATCAAGATCACACGGGCGGTGTTTACTTACCCGGGCTCTTCTAGTTGCCATTTTAGACGGAGTTGGTAAGCAAGCACCTAATCATTGTGCTACACTGCTGTTGTTTTCGAATGAAATCCAGAGCTGCCACTGCCCTTATTTTTATTCAGATTTTGTCATTTCTGTCCTCTAATTTTGTTATATTAAGAGCCATTTAGAATGATTATTACTGAAGAAACAAACTTTTATATTCAGAGGGTGAAAAAAATCGCACACAGGCTACTATTGCATAATCAAGCCCTTCATTCAGTTTTCTCATACACTGTATGAAAAGGGATATAGTTTCCCCCCTCCCCCAGGGTAAAGCAGTGACTGCCTTATTAAACAAACAGCTCACTTCTGTCACAGCACCTGTATCACATAAAACATATATGATGAATTCTTCTAATTTGGTTGAATATTATACGGTGCCAAATGTGGTTTGTGATGTACATCCTTATCCGCATAGGACTGCAGATTACACCTGGCTGGCTTAGTCATTACGGGTGCTCTAATTATAACTTTTCTGGAGGTTGAACAGGGTCTCTGCTGTCTGCCCTGTTCATCTCCCATTTAGATGGATTTTTTTTAAATCTCAAGATAGGGTGGTAAACCTTCAAGTAACAACCCTAAGGAAACAAACTGATTGAGTGATCTGTTTGCGATATAGAAAGTAAAGTGTTGTTTATCACCAACTCAAAGCAGAATTTAAGGGAAGATCAACAGTGTCAATTGTTCTGCCTACTTCTCTTGCCATGACAGTATTTGGCTTGCTGCGTGCATATAATAAACTAGTTTGTGTTGTGTGCAGTTCCTGCCAGATCAAGTATGTATCAGCCTTGTTGTTTGGCTTTAAATGTCTGTAGATGGAGGCGCGTACATTAGCCCATCCTAGTTGTTGCTCATATGTCCTGAGTTTGCTCATGGCGTGGTCACTTGATATATAATCTGTAATCAAGTTCTGAAATAAAGTTTCTTAGATTAATATTATGTAATTGAGTCATGTAATCAAGTTCTGAAATAATGATGCTTAGATGGATTAATGTTGTGTTCTCAGACTCTGTAATCAAATGGATTATTATTATTTTATCGAGTTCTGTAATCAGGTTCTAAAATCATTGTGTAATCAAGCTTTATGGGAGTGCTCAAACACATCCTGTATATATGCACAGTAACGTTTTAAACAAAAACTATGTGCTCAGTAATGTTCAAACAATGATCGGCACAGCCAGGTACGAGAAGCATACCGGATGCACAAGAAGTCTTGTCAACCAACATAGGACTGGGACTGTCAACTGCGGGACGCTGATGTATACGTTGGAGGAAGAATCTTAGCACCTGTGGACATGTCCGGAGTGCCATGAAGATAACCCAGATCATAACTCAAACTTCAGTCAACCTGCACAGTAATGTTCAGACTAGTGTCATTTTGTTTGCACAGTAATTTTCAAACAGAACCTGCATATGTGCCAGGTAATTGTTGAAACTGTACTTGTACATGATTGACTATTAGCATTTCACAGAAAATAAAATGTCTGGAATCAGCCAAAGCTTTATAATATACAAGTTTTACATCAAAGCTGCCCCGGCTCTCTAGCGTAGTTGGCTACACCAGATTGCGTGGTGACCGGATGATGAACTCCTTGTGGTTCGGGTTCACTCCCGCGGGTAGGCAGAAAAGCCACATTTCTCCCAGATTTACGGTATTTACAATGGATTCAAGGCCGAAAGGTTGCGATATCCATAATACCAAGCCTAAGGGTTAACAACTTATGGCTTCTGGATACTAAAAACAAAACATCAAAGCTGGGTTACCTGTTTACATCAGAGCTGGGTTACCTTTTTACATCAAAGCTGGGTTACCTGTTTATATCAAAGCTGGGTTACTTGTGTATATCAAAGCTGGGTTACTTGTTTACAACAAAGCTGGGTTACTTGTTTACATCAAAGTTGGGTTACTTGTTTACAACAAAGCTGGGTTACTTGTTTACAACAAAGCTGGGTTACTTGTTTACAACAAAGCTGGGTTACTTGTTTACAACAAAGCTGGGTTACTTGTTTACATCAAAGTTGGGTTACTTGTTTACATCAAAGCTGGGTTACTTGTTTACATCAAAGCTGGGTTACTTGTTTACAACAAAGCCGGGTTACTTGTTTACATCAAAGCTGGGTTACTTGTTTACATCAAAGCTGGGTTACTTGTTTACATCAAAGCCGGGTTACTTGTTTACATCAAAGCTGGGTTACTTGTTTACATCAAAGCTGGGTTACTTGTTTACATCAAAGCTGGGTTACTTGTTTACAACAAAGCCGGGTTACTTGTTTACATCAAAGCTGGGTTACTTGTTTACATCAAAGCTGGGTTACTTGTTTACAACAAAGCTGGGTTACTTGTTTACAACAAAGCTGGGTTACCTGTTTACTTCAAAGCCGGGTTACTTGTTTACAACAAAGCTGGTTTACCTGTTTACTTCAAAGCTGGGTTACTTGTTTACATTAAAGCCGTAATTAACAAATGGTGTGTATTTGGATCTCTACACTGAATCCTTGTTTGTACTCCTCTAGTTTGCTCTCTGTGATCTGATACATGTGGTACTCTCGCTACATTTGCATGTCTATAGTTTTTTTTTTTTTGCTGGTTGTCCTGTTTGTAATCTCTGGATCTAAAAAAAATTTAATATATAATGTCATTAGTAGTAGTCCTTCCTGTGTGGGTTCTGAGGCTTGGGAGTGGGGGTGTTGAGTAGACTTCTTCTTAAATAAAGTCCATGCTGTTGTGTGGCACTGGTAGTCATGTCTAACCACAACCTTCTGTCTCATGTATTTTCAGTCAACCCAGACACAGATGATCCTTCATGCCATGATGTAAAACTGTCCGGCATCTTTTCTCTTGGTCTTCCTCCGCCTCTCCTTCCATCTAACTTTTCTTCTGTCACAGTTTGCTGCAGTTTTTCTTCTTCTCATTACATGACCAAGGAATGTAGATTTGTCTGTTTCTGATGTGGGCAATCAGTTCTCTTTGTGAGTCAGTTTTCTTTCAACAAATCTTCATTGCTCTGTTTAATCTGTCCTGGGTATGAATAGATTGATTCAC